GGTGTGCGCCTCCTGGCCACCCTGAACTGTCCCTGCTCTGGTGTGCGCCTCCTGGCCACCCTGAACTGTCCCTGCTCCGGTGTGCGCCTCCCGGGGCTGATGGCCGGTGTGCTGCCACACCTGCCCGCGCTCTCCCCTTGCTATCTGCAGGGTCTGTAGTGATGCCCCCTCCCGCACCGTGTTTTTCTGGTGTATTGCTAGGTTATTGCTCACAGGTTGGTTTTCCTCTTCCTTTGCATTCGTGGTGACTTTACATTAAGGGGTGTGTGTGGTAGTTTGGCCTCCAAAGTGCTTGACCATTTTGTTTCCTGAAAAAAAAAAATTCTTGAGCTTGGTTCCTGTGTGTGTGCATTACTGGGCAGCTCTTGGTGTTTCCTGACCTGCCTTAAGCTTTGTTTGCTGAGGGCAGGGGGATGTTGAGCCACAGATCTGGCGCCTGGTCTCTGGAGCAGGCACACTCATACCACCATCACGGACGCCTGCAGATCAGGAGGTTATGTTCGTGCGGGCTCATGGGCGCCCACTGTGCCCAACACTCTGCTAGGTCTTCCTGCATGGTCCTTCTCTGGCCTTGGGCAGTCTCTTCACATGCTGGTGGCCCCCGCACTGTCTTGAGACTCACCCCAGGAGGTCCCCCCTCCCCTGTGCCACAGCTCCTCCCGCTGGGCCAGTGTCCTGAACTACCTGTTCTCCAGTGTCTGAAAACCACTGTTTGTCTAGTTCTTGGGCTGTTTCAGGCGTGGGGTGAGTTTGGTCCTAACAGTCTAGAAGCATTGTGTTGGTGGTAAAATACCAAGCACTTGTCCTCTGAATCTGGGAACAGGCAAAGGACATTTAAGATGTCCTGAGAGTCCAAGCTGGTACAAGGATACAGGGGAAAAAAGCAAAAAGTACCAAATTGGGTACAAAACAGCTTATCAGAGAGGGGGGACAATCTATAAATAAGCAGTTAGAGTTAGAAGCACATGTAGACTACTGGTTGTGATGCAGATTTCTGTGCTGTCCGTTCTTGTGGCTATCACAGGAGACTCGTAATGAAGAGGTTTGCTTAGCTCCGAGCTCCGAGGGCGCAGCCACTCGGGAGAGAGCCACGTTCAGAGACCAGG